AGTAAAGGCAAGTATAGAGAGAAACTGATATATTATTCGAATTCAAACTGATGTACATAATGAACTGAAATCTCTTCTATTTATAGAAGAAAGGAAGCTACTGTGTAAGCTGCTACTATACCAGATATGGATAATCTTTTACTGAGAGCAATGTTTATCCATAACGGAGTACTGAAAGGATAAGCTTATTATACCCGATATGGATAATCTTCTACCGGAGGTAATGTTTATCCATAACTGGGTACTGAAATGATAAGCTTATTATACCCGATATGGATAATCTTCTACCGGGGGTAGTGTTTATCTAGAACTGGGTACTGAAAGGATAAGCTCATTATACCCGGTATGGATAATCTTCTACCGGAGGTAATGTTTATCCATAACTGGGTACTGAAAGGATAAGCTTATTATACCCGGTATGGATAATCTTCTACCGGGGGTAATGTTTATCCATAACCGGGTACCGAAGTGATAAGCTTCTTCAGGAAGCTTATTTCCAATAGAGTACTTAAATAGATAAACATATTTACGGTGGAGTCCCATATGGATAAGCTTCTTCAGGAAGCTTATTTACAACGGAGTACTAAATGAACATCCATAATATAATATATTTATAACACTCCCCCTTGGATGTTCATTAAAAGATAATGTGCCTCATTAAAACCTTACTAGAAAAAACCCCGTGGGAAAAAAATTAAGTGAAAGAAAAAGAGTACACATATTTAGTAATACGCATTGCTGGCTGCCTCATTAAAAACCTTATAAGGAAAATCCTGTGGGAAAAACCTTAGTAAGGAAAAAAGAGTACAGTGCGCATTTTACTCCCCTTGAAGAAAACTTTATTTCAAATATTTGAGTCTCTGCATTCCAATCTTGTATACCATATTCTCAAAAATTGAAGTTGGTAAAGACAATCTGCTGGATTATCACTTAAACTAATTTGATGCACATCAATGTCACAATTTTCCTGAAAATCATGTATGTAGAATAATTCTGGNATAATCTTTTCTCATAATTTACAAGGAATTACGGGGTTATCTACCAACCAAATTAAATATCTAGGAGTCTAGTTTCCAACGCATTAAACCGTTCATCGATACNAAATATTGTCTCCGTATAATATTGTGGATCTTATATAACATTTCAACCCACATGTTTCTCGAATGAATCACTGATCTCATTCATATTCACTCCCTGCTTGCCGGTTTGAGATCGAGCTTTATGGGTATCGGATAAATAACCTGCATCTGCATTACCAATACGATCTGCACCACTTTTGTTAGCATTAGCAAGATAAATAAGTGCACCATCTACACCGAGATAGAGTATTTCAGGACCAAGGAGCTCCTCATCCTCTTCTAGAGGTTGGAACGGATCCTTATTCACTTCAAGTGATTGAATATTCATTGGTGTACTTAATGGGTACACTTTGTCCATGTAAAAGTATTTTTAAGACCCTCTTAGAGCTCTTCTGGAGTTTCAATTTATGTCATCAACATAAACAGCAAGTGTAACAAATTCTGATGACATTTTCTTTATAAAAATACATGGACAAATAACATAATTTATGTAACTTTCTTTCAGCAAATATTTACTGAGGCGATTATACCACACGCGCACAGATTGCTTTAAACCGTACAAAGATCTTTATAATTTGATCGAGTACATTTCTCAAGACTTTGAATTATATGCTTCAGGCATTTTCAATCCTTCAAGGATCTTCATATAGATTTAGTCAAATAAGTCATATAGGTTAAGACTTGTATCTAAATGGTATGACATCTTCAAGTGTCTGGACTGCTGGTCCGATCCTCACAATCTTTTACAATATTGTGCACTATATTGTATCAAATATATCGTCGACGATCATTTTGTGTCAGTTCCGAAGCGACATAACTTGTTGAGATCTCATCACTTTCTTTATTTTTAGGTACCTGAACTTCTTCGGGAGTTTCATGAAATGTTATGCCGTGGGCTCTTCTAGAGCTTATTTCCTCCTCATTATAATCATTAGCTCCTACTATTTTTCAAGGATTGTTACCTTTAGAACCGATTGGTCTACCACGCTTCATGCGTACAGTAAACTCTATCCTTCAGGGACTTTAATTTTAATAGGAGCATTTGTAGCTGAAATATGATATTTAATTTTGGATCAGCAAATGCTTCTGGCATTCGACTTGAATTATCTTCTAAGTGATGATCATATTAATGATAATTCGATTCATATAATATATTTTTCAACTGTTTATTCCATTTCCCAAATGTTAGAAAAACCAACATATATCCCCAATCATCTTTGAGAAACATATCTTTGTGTATTATGGTAGAGAAATTAATCATATACCACACAACAAAAGATAGTAAAAATATTTGGTTTCCGATCCTAAACCAATTGTGAAGGGAGGACTTATCATATATTGTTGATCTAATAATGTTATCCATATTCTTCAAAATGACATAAATAAGATATATTATAGTAAACATCATTATCATAATTTTTCTTTATGTAAAAATTACATAATCATACTATCTATTACAAACAACAAAATTAAAATATTTACATTTCCACATATTCACCACCGATTACATGACTTGTTTCTCCTTCTGGGAGTGCAAGGTAATCAGCTACATCCAAATGCATGAAGTCTAAATTATCTTCAGAAATAATATTTGCTTCAACATTTTTCTCTGTCTTCTTTAGGGAGGCTTGATAAAGCTCAACCATGTGCTTTGGCGTACGACAGGTACGTGACCAATGCCATTTTCCTCCACATCTATAACATGCATTTTCTGCATTTGGTGCTTGCACCGCTTCATGCTTTTGTTCCTTCCTTTTCCACTGTTGGTGGTGATGAGTGTTCTTTGGTGCATTATTATTACCATGATTAGAGTTTCTTCCCCGACCACGGCCATGACCACGACTGGGGCCACGACCTTTTCCACGTTAAGCTTGGTGGAAGTTTGTCTCATTCACTTCAGGGAATGGACAAGAACCAGTAGGTCGGCTTTCATGGGTTTTCATTAATAGCCCATTATTTTGCTCGGCTATAAGAAGATGTGAGATAAGTTTAGAATACTTTTTAAATCCCATCTCTCGATATTGCTGCTGCAGGAGCATATTCGAGGCGTGAAAAGTGGTGAAAGTTTTCTCTAACATATAATGATCATTAATATTATCACCACATAACTTCAATTGGGAAATAATTCTGAACATAGCAGAATTATACTCACTGATAGATTTAAAATTTTGTAGCCTTAGATGAGTCCAATCATATCGTGTCTGTGGAAGAACGGCCATCTTCAGGTGGTCATATATATCTTTCAAATTATTCCATAGTATGACTGGATCTTTAACAATAAGATATTCCATTTTCAGGCCCTCATCAAGGTGATGGCGTAGGAATATCATTGCTTTGGCACGGTCTTGGTTTGATGCCTGATTTTTATCTTTGATGGTGTCTGCCAGACCCATTGCATCAAGATGAATTTCAGCATCAAGTACCCAAGACATGTAGCTTTTGCCCGATATATCCAGGGCTACAAATTCAAGTTTAGAAAGATTTGACATTATTTAGGAAAAGAAAGTTCTTACCTCAGATACTTTCAAAATATTTGCTCGAGATGGCAGAGTCTTGTGCTGATAACGTGTTATAAAATAAAGACTATAAAGTAAAGACAAGTATAGAGAGAAACTGATATATTATTCGAATTCAAACTGATGTACATAATGAACTGAAATCTCTTCTATTTATAGAAGAAAGGAAGCTGCTGTGTAAGCTGCTACTATACCAGATATGGATAATCTTTTATAGAGAGCAATGTTTATCCATAACAGAGTATTGAAAGGATAAGCTTATTATATCCGATATGGATAATCTTCTACCGAGGGTAGTGTTTATCCAGAACTGGGTACTAAAAGGATAAGCTTATTATATCCGATATGGATAATCTTCTACCGAGGGTAGTGTTTATCCAGAACTGGGTACTAAAAGGATAAGCTTATTATATCCGATATGGATAATCTTCTACCGAGGGTAGTGTTTATCCAGAACTGGGTACTAAAAGGATAAGCTTATTATATCCGATATGGATAATCTTCTACCGAGGGTAGTGTTTATCCAGAACTGGGTACTAAAAGGATAAGCTTATTATATCCGATATGGATAATCTTCTACCGAGGGTAGTGTTTATCCAGAACTGGGTACTAAAAGGATAAGCTTATTATATCCGATATGGATAATCTTCTACCGAGGGTAGTGTTTATCCAGAACTGGGTACTAAAAGGATAAGCTTATTATATCCGATATGGATAATCTTCTACCGAGGGTAGTGTTTATCCAGAACTGGGTACTAAAAGGATAAGCTTATTATATCCGATATGGATAATCTTCTACCGAGGGTAGTGTTTATCCAGAACTGGGTACTAAAAGGATAAGCTTATTATATCCGATATGGATAATCTTCTACCGAGGGTAGTGTTTATCCAGAACTGGGTACTAAAAGGATAAGCTTATTATATCCGATATGGATAATCTTCTACCGAGGGTAGTGTTTATCCAGAACTGGGTACTAAAAGGATAAGCTTATTATACCCGGTATGGATAATATTCTATCGGAGGTAATGTTTATCCATAACCGGGTACCGAAGTGATAAGCTTCTTCAGGAAGCTTATTTCCAATAGAGTACTTAAATAGATAAACATATTTACGGTGGAGTCCCATATGGATAAGCTTCTTTAGGAAACTTATTTACAACGGAGTACTAAATGAACATCCATAATATAATATATTTATAACAAATGTGTTTTTTTTTTTGGAATAAAACAAAAGTACTATTATTTGTATAAATATTTTTTAATAATAGTCCTACCACGTAAAAATGTCAATGGAGGGCGAATGAAAAACAAAGAAAATAAGAAAAAACTGCCTCTCGGTAATCAAACGGCGTCGTATTTACGTGTCAGTCCCCTGCATCTCTAAATCTCAACATTCCACAGAATCGAAGTCTTTAATAAAAAGTCTCTACTTTGGCAGAGAGTACTGTTTACTGTCAGCATATCAAAGATCCGCTACGCTGGTTCTCATCAGTCAACAGAATAGAGACTTTGTGGTTTTAAGTTTTAACGATTAAAAATTTGCTTTAAATGGCAACTTGGGAGGAGAAGGTGGTAGCTGTGATCATGGTTGGTGGCCCCACAAAAGGTCTGTTAATTATTTTAGATATTCTTGTTCTTCATCTGTATCCTAATGGAAATTAAAATTATAGGTACTCGTTTTCGGCCGCTTTCTTTTAATACACCAAAGCCGCTGTTCCCTTTAGCTGGTCAGCCTATGATTCACCACCCGATTTCTGCTTGCAAAAAAGTATGTTCGTCTACTTCATTCTTCTTCTTACTGCTCTGAGTTAATTTACTGTTTTTCTCCTTCTTCAACTGTATCCACCGTAACACTAAATAGGTTTAGTCGTTATTTATTGTATAGTGGGTAGGGTTCAGTTACTTTGATACGGCAATAATAGTTTTGTAATTTTTCTGTTGTAGCGAATAAAGCTCAATGACAATTAATCCCTCGAGTTCTATATCAATTAATTAACTATATCTCAAGCACTAACTAGTTTGGTTTGGTTGTACATATCATATTTGTATAAAAGGCAGGCCGCTGCACAAAGCATCCCGCGTTCACGCAAGGTCCCGCACCCTTATTGATTCCACCTATAGGTCACAACGGAATATTCCGCTTTTTTAAGATGTAACTATGTATCATAATTTGACTATCCGTTTTATCCAACCCCGTTTTATCCGGGATTGGAATCTGCAAGATCAGGAATTCAACGTACTTACAAAAAAAAAAAGGAAGTGAAAAAGATTAAGCCTTTTTTCCATTTTATGGTGTTACCTTGATTCTTGATTAGTTTTTATTTGTTTGATAAGATGATTCTTGATTAATTTTAGCATTGATCTGTGTAATTTAGATTAAATACTTTTCTGCGTCTGCTTCAAGTCCACCTACTAGGCTATGATGTGAAATTATTGTACAGTGGTTTATGACAGGAACCTGAATGTCTGTATTGCAGATACCCAACTTGGCACAAATTTTTCTCATTGGATTTTATGAGGAGCGGGACTTTGCCTTATATGTCTCTTCAATATCTAATGAGCTTAAAGTCCCTGTCAGGTGAACTAGGGCATCGGTCTCACTTGATAGTGTGCTGTTTGATTGAGCCAATTTTCTATATTCTGTTGAGAATTCTTTTAGACTGAGGTTATCCTGTTGGTTTTAAACACGACTCTTTGTCAATGGTTCTTTAGATATCTGAAGGAAGATAAACCTCACGGGTCTGCTGGTGGCCTTTATTATTTCAGAAATTTGATCATGGAGGAACTTCCGGTACGTTCAACAGAATTGTTGTAGCTTTATTAATTAGACATTGTATGTGCTGATCTGCAATCCTGCATCTGCCCTCTCCTCTTCCACGCATGGCCAGAAAGAATTTCAATGAACATGTCCTATTTATGGCCGTGCCATTCCTTTTTGCATACCAGATTGAGTAGTACATTTTGACGAACAATTGGTAAAAGAAGGCATTAAAATTGTGCAAACATCCCATGGTGCATGGATACGTTTATCATGTTATTTGTCTTCTGTTAGCATTCTCTATTGGCCCTTGGTGATCCTTTTTTATTTCTTGTTTCTTTAACGGGCAGTCTCACATTTTTCTGCTAAACTGCGACGTGTGCTGCAATTTTCCACTGCCAGAGATGCTTGGTAAGTATGCACTAGTTTCACAGTTGTACCACCACCCCCCTTAAAAATTAAAATGAAGATAGAGAGCAGTCAAGCTCTTTTCTTTTCCAAAAATTTATTTGTAATTCTCAGGCTCTCTATAGTTTCAGCTCAAATATTTGACAATTCTCAATGCAGTTGCCCATAGAAGATATGGTGGAATGGGTACATTGCTAGTTATCAAGGTAAAGTTCTAAGCTGAAGACTGACTGCTTACTTTCTTGACTTAGATCAGCCTCTTATCATATTTGTGCATACGCAGGTTTCGGCTGAATCAGCCAACCAGTTTGGAGAGTTGGTTGCAGATCCTGTTACTAAAGAATTGTTGCATTACACAGAGAAACCTGAGACATTTGTACGTGTTATTACTAAATGTCTATTTAGGTTTTTGAAGTACTGATGCTTGCTGGGGTGCAAACTAGATTTTAAACTTCATTTCTGAATGCCTTTCCTTATATACATTTCATAAAATGCAGGTAAGTGATCTGATAAATTGCGGGGTTTATGTCTTTACCCCAGAAATATTCAGTGCCATCCAGGATGTGTCCTTAGACAGAGAAGATAGAGGTAATTTATCTAATAATGTTCCCTTATCAAGTTGGTTTTCCCACATAATGCTTAGCATTTATATTTCTTCATGCAACAACAACAACAACAACTACCCAGTAAAATCCCACAAAGTGGGGTCTGGGGAGGGTAATGAGTACGCAGACCTTACCACTACCCGATAGGGCAGAGAGGCTGTTTCCGATAGACCCTCAGCTCAGAGAAGAAAAAAGAAAGAGAAAGAGAAAGAGAAAGAGAAAAAACAATTCATTAGTAACTCCAGTAGAAACCGTAATAGTAACAGAAGCATAACAGCCAAAAGATAAATGACATGCAATAACAACAACCAGTAACGAAGGCCCGGGGATAAGATAAACATCAAGGATAGTGTGGATTCAACATGAACTGCAAGCCATCTAAGATCAACCCTAATCCAACCCCGCCTCACCCCCGGTTATAAAGTAAGGAAAGCTTTACTACCCCCTAACCTCCAACCCTAATGCTTGACCTCCAGACCTTCCTGTCAAGGGCCATGTCCTCGGAAATCTGCAGTCGTACCATGTCCTGCCTGATCACCTCTCCCCAATACTTCTTAGGCCTCCCTCTACCTCTTCTCGTACCCACCACAGCCAACCGCTCACACCTCCTCACCGGAGCATCAAGGCTTCTCCTCCGCACGTGCCCGAACCATCTGAGCCTCGCTTCCCGCATCTTCATATTTCTTCATGCATTTTTAAAAATGTTAGATACCTGTTTTTCCCTAATCCTTACCACATAATACCAGCTAATTATTTTAGATAGGATAAATGCTCCTTACCATGCTGTGGAGGATAGATGAACATTTCTGCATAGCTGGTGTGCCTTGCATCTTTCACTACTGCTATCTTAGAAAAATTGTAGATCTTACGCAGTGGTGCAGGTCAAATACATCCTAAGCCCTTCCCAGACTACATGCCAAAAAAGAGTGTGGGGTGATAGTGTGGTACTGTTTAGGGATCTATTTACCATTATAAATCCAATTTGACGACAGTTCTCTTAGCAACTAGTTCTGATTACTGTCTATTGACACGCCATTCGGTATATGTTCATTTGTATTATTCAGGTTATGAGGTGGGATAAGTTTATTATTCCTTAAATTTTTTCCTCCTATACTGGGTTTGGGATATAACCTTTGCTTCATTTGTGGTTGTTGTTCTCTTATTTCAGCTACCCTGCCTCATTTTTCCAGCTTTGAAGCTCTCCAGCTTGCGACAAGGTGATTCAAGTGTTAATTGACTTTCTGACCTCTCAATCATGCATATCAGCATGGGTTTTGTGTTGTAGCCTAATTAGTCATGAAATAAGAAAAGGTCCTACTTTTCAAACCTAGGTCCTACTTTCACCCATTTAAGTGTGTTATTTTCTTTTGATAACATATATTGTTACTCTCTCCTGAGTCATAACTCATAACCATGTTTTACATTTCAAAGTCATAATAACCCTGTATTTTATTGGCTTTTCTTGAGGCGTTCTTTTGTTTGTGAATTTGCTACCATTTGATCCCATGTACCTTCTCCTGATATTTCTTTTAAGGTTCTTGCGTTGCACTATTCTAGCATTACACTGAGAATTTAAACTTTTTTTGATAAGGTAAAGGTTTTATTAAGACCAAGATGGTAAAAAAGATACATATGAGCAGCGTATTACATGTTCCGTCCTAACAACTCCAGAATCTCCATATATTGCTCCATATTTTCCAGTATACTACTCTTACACCAAAAGTACAGGTTTGTGCAAACATTTGCTTTTTAATTCTAGAGGTGTCGTTCCTTTTGCCTTCAAAACAAATCTTGTTCCTTTCCCTCCATATGGTCCAAAATATGCACATATGGATATTACTCCAGAACTGCTGCAGACTCTCATCTATCCTTTGGCTCTTCCAACTTTCCAATAAGCTTCTAACACTGTTGGGCCTCACCCATGAAACACCACAGATATCCAGAAAGAGGTCACACCACTGTTTAAATTGAGAGTTTTAGCTTATTTTTTGAGACGGCGCACGAAGTCTGCATTTGGTATGATCAGTCTTTAGGATGCATTTTTTACTGTCGCGCGGAGTCCATTAGTAGTCACTCCACTTTTATAATCACCACCACCACCATCAACAATATACCCAGTGTAATCCTTGTATACGCAGACCTTACCCCTATCTTGTGAAAATAAAGAGACTGTTTTAAATTAGACCCTCGGCTCATAGAAAGAATGGTCACAACATTTTAAAAAAAGAAATGCAAAAGTGTAGAAGCCATAGAAAAAGGATGCATAGTAAAACTAGTAATAGAAATTTAAGAATAAGAAAATACGAGAATAATATCAATGCTACTGGTCTGGAAAAGATATGCTCAACTATCTACTAGCTTTTTACTCTAATTCTCGATCTCCACACCCTACTATCAAGGGTCATGTCCTCGACAAGCTGAAGATGTGCCTTGTCCTTCCTAATAACCTTTCCCTAATACTTCTTCAGCCTACCTCTACCTCCCATTATACCCACCATCGCCACCTTCTCACACCTCCTCACTGAGTTATTTGTGCATTTCCTCTTCACATACCTGAACCATCTCAGCCTCGTTTCCCACATCTTATCCACCACGGAGGCCACTCCCACCTTATCCCTGAATATCTTCATTCCTAATCATACCTCTCCTAATATGCCTATACATCCATCTTACCATTCTCAGTTTCGCTACTTTCATTTTCTGGACATGAGAGTTCTTGACCGGCCAACAATTCGCCCCATACAACACAGTCGATCTAACAATCACTCTGTAGAACTTGCCTTTTCTTGGTGGCACATCCTTATCACAGAGGATACTAGATGCAAGCCTCCATTTCAGCCACCCCACAACAATACGATCTTCCCATTACCTTGAATTATCGACCCAGGATACTTGAAATTTTCTCTCTTGAGGATGACTTGTGTATCAAGCTTCACTTCCACGTCAACCTCATGAGTCATGTCACTGAACTTGCACTCCAAGTATTCCGCCTTAGTCCTGCTTAACCTGAAACCTTTAGACTCCAGGGTTTGTCACCAAACCTCCAGCCTATCTATGACTCTGCTTCGTGACTCGTCAATCAGTACTATGTCATCCACAAATAACATGCACCATGAGTCCATGACACTTCCCCTGAATGTGTAGTGTTAGTTCATCCATCACCCAAGCAAATCACTTTCATAACCACCATGAGTTTTTTTTTCTAACAAATATAGTAACATTTGGTTGTCTATTGTCATAAGATTATGCAATATAGCTGGGTCAACGACAATGTTATCAAAGGCGAAAAGCACAAGAAAGCTCTAAGGTTCGTGGGGGCTTTAAGCAAAAAGCGCAAATAAAGCGTGGACTTTAATGAAAAAAGGGGCAAATGGAGAAAAAAATACAAATATGTATGTGTAATCCAAGACTAATAATTATAAGCATGAATAACAAACATATGGACAAAGAAATTGAAAACACAAAATTGTAATAAAGTGAAATATCAATTGTTTAGTGTCGTCTCCTCGGGATTTCACTCATTAGCAATGGATTTCACTCATTAGCAATGAAAAGCATGCCTTAGTGGCTTGATGACAACATTGAAGCGCCCGCTAAGCGAGGCGAGATGCTCAACATGTTTTGCGCCTCGCTTCAGGGTTTAGGCGCGCCATTGACTACGCTGGTCATCAACGGTTAGGATTGAACCCACTTACTTCTCTCTATATTGAGCCGTCAAAGTGGTGTTAAAAGACATTTTACTTCTATTTATTGTGTTCATCTTTTACCTTTTCAATAGGTCCCTTCCTACAGATTTTGTTAGGTTGGATCAGGACATTTTATCACCTCTTGCTGGAAAGAAGAAACTGTACACATATGAGACCATGGACTTCTGGGAACAGATCAAGACTCCAGCGTATGGTCATTGTTATCATTACTGGTTACTTGTCTTATGTGGGAAAATGTTGACCACCATGACGATGTGTTTTAACTTTTTAGGATGTCTTTAAAGTGTTCTGCTTTGTATCTCGATCAATTCCGGCATACCACTGCCCATCTGCTCGCTAGCGGAGATGGCACCAAGAATGCCACAATTGTTGGGGATGTTTACATTCATCCATCAGCCAAAGTACACTCAACTGCAAAGGTAGTTCCATCTTCTGTTTTAAGGTCATTCTTGCACTAGGGCATTTTCAGCAAAAACAGTTTGTCAAAGAGTCAAACTACATTTTTGCCCTACCTTATATTCAAATGTCACTTTTGTAGTTCATTGCTGGGATTGAGACTTCAGAAATTTCTGATTCACTAACACTTATAGGAGATGTTTTGCGCAGAGCTAAGATAAAGTTTTGTTAAAATTTAAGTGTGACATCGCACATCTTCCCCTTATTTAAGTTAGCACTTCTATCTATACAAAGTAGATGCGTTGATTGACAATTATTTGATAAGAATAATGTATAGCTCTTGTGGATCTTTTACCATGGAGAATATTGAAGAACTATTTAACGAAAAATATTAAAATTCCTTTGCCCCCAAGGGCACAGCTTACAACCTAAAGCCAAGATTCGAATTCAAGCAAAGTCAACACTAGGTCAAGTCTTCTATCTGCCTTAACCTTGGTAGGTAGAGCTACCCAATATATGTGCTGGTATGAGTGGGTTTGGGCTGACTCATAAAAAATCCTATGTATTCAGTATGCTTTATGTAGAGGAAGTTTTATGTAGTATCTAGGTTACTTACCCTTGTAATCCCTGGAATTGTAACAACAAATAATGGATCAACTTGATCGTTCTAGTACTTTCTAAAAAGCTTACATTTTTTGTGGTATCAGTTTGAACTCTCCAATATTACATAGCTAGTTGTTACTGCATGTCTGACTTGCTCTTTTCATTTTGGTTTATCTCAAATGAGACTGTTTACTTAAGGAGTTGTGGTTTGGAGATTGTTGAAGCTTGTTGTTTTTCTTTTTTTTTCGCTGAATTCGTATGTCCCTGGACAAACAGATTGGTCCGAATGTTTCAATATCAGCAAATGTTCGGGTGGCTGCTGGTGCAAGACTTATCAGCTGCATCATTTTAGATGACGTAGAAATCAAGGTATCATGTAAGAAGAGATTAGCGATGCAGTGAAACAAAAATGTCGCACATAACTGGATATTCTTTTAACTTGCAGGAAAATGCAGTTGTTATGCATGCTATAGTTGGATGGAAATCATCCATTGGGAAATGGTCTCGTGTACAGGTAATTCAGAAAATTGGGGAACAGTCTAGTATCCAGGTTATATCACTGAACTAACTCATAGCTTTGTCTTGTTCCCAAGATCATTAGTTAGTTTTCATCAACATTCTTTTCTCCAGTATGCGCTAAGTGGTCCTTATATACGCTTCGTCGCTTCCACAAAATTCTCAATGCAAGACTTGCTGGACTATCAGAAAATCTCTCATTCTTTCTGGTGATCCAATCATTTTGTTGGTCAAATATGCATTTAACTATTTCAATAGGGTCAACCTCCTATTAGTGTATGTTACTATAACTACATGTTCTCCTTGTTTAGTGTCAGCTCTTAGTGTGCATTTGTGCTATGGAATTGCTAGGAAGACGCAGCTTCTTTATATTATAGCCTAAGCTGGCAACTTTTATAAGTTGTTCTGGCTGTTGGTGCCCTACCATTGTGTGTGTTGAAAGAATAGTAGTGGATCTCCTATCTGATCCTTTCTGTTAAAGACATAATTACGTAAATAAAAGTGTGCTCTCTCTAACAAGTTAAGCATTTAGATGAGATGGTCGCATACTTCCAACATGGTATTAGAGCAGGTAAGGGTCGTGAGTTAGAGTTTTACCACCACCCATTATCTTAAAACAAGAAGGAAATTCCACGTGCACCAATGAAAAAGGGTTAGACCCACATGTGGAGGGATCTGTTGAAGATATATTTAAGTAAAAGTAAATAAAATGTGCTCTCTTTAACGGCCTAAACTTTTAGATGAGATGGTCACACACTTCACCGTATACAAAGAAAAAGGTAGCGGTATAGGGGGCCTTACTAAGACATAGCTTATGCTGAATCTGTATGTTTGACTTGAGTATTTTGTGCTGATTCAGGCGGAAGGAGACTACAATTCTAAACTTGGGATTACAATTCTCGGTACTAATTTGGCTTTTGCTATATTTGTAACTCATTTTCTTCTTGCTTTGCTAATTTGACATTATTTTATCGTCATCGATGTTGCAGGAGAAGCGGTGACTGTTGAAGATGAAATCGTCGTGATTAACAGCATTGTCCTTCCAAATAAGACACTTAATGTAAGTGTACAGGAAGAGATTATTCTGTAAATTCTCGATGTTGATTCCAAGAATCTCTATACCAGCGAGGATCATCCAAGACACTTTTAGCTTATTCGTACCAATCTTTAATTTACATCTTGTTAATTGGTATGTCAATTCATGTGAGTTAAAGTAAACTCTGTGAATGTTTTCTTATTATATTTATTTTAGATTGTAGGCCGATTTTGTTTTCTCCTGATTCTATAAATTAGTTTACTTTCTTTTCTATTTTCAGTTAAAGATTTTTCTTCATTGATAGCAACTCACTGAATTATTAATCCTTATTATTCCCAGAATGGCCAGCTCAATACTTATTGTTGTCATCCATACTGCTCACCATTAGTCAGCCACGCGGCAAAACCATAAATGTTAAGAAAATCAGTTTAGGGAATAATTCTACCTTAAAAGCTTATCGAGCGGATAATTACGCTTAACGGTTCGACTTATCGGTTATCGGATTATAAATATTGTAATCCGCTAGCCATCCAATAAGATAACGGGCGGATTGGTATCGGATTAACAATTATCGGGTGGTTATCGGGAGGTTTATCGGCTAAATCAAATAAAATTTTTTGGTATAATATTGAAATGGATACTTTTTTATGGGTGGTTTTATTGACTGATTTCCTGTACGCATCCTAACAGACCTGATGAGCGGGATAGAATTGAAAATTCGGGTGAGAAAGTTATAAATTGAAATGGATATCGAGTCTTAGGAGTTCTTGCTACTTCAAGATCCATAGGAAAGTGTAATTATAAAAATTCTTAATGGGTTAACGATTTATCCGATAAGAAAATTGAGTAATCTGCCCCCAAACTGTTAAGCCGTTAGTTATAAAATCTCAATCCATTCACCGTCCATTATCCCAATAATCCGATACCAATAAGCCAATAAGTCATCGTTTCGATTCGATTAACGGTTTCAGTTCGGTTTTGAACAGCACTACCAATGAGTCAATGACCTATTGCCTAACCAATGTTGGACAAACTTAATACCCCTGTCACGCCTAACCAGATCTGGTACCTAATGCATGGACAACTATTACGGAAATAGATTTTGAATTTTTCTAAATCCTAAAAGTTTGCTCATTAGGTTAGAGTTGAACAAGAGCATACAAGGAGGTGTACGTTTCCTCGACCAATATGGGATTAACTTACAATAAATATGCTAGAAATAGTGCACATCCTTCTAGCTCTTTTCCTCAACTAACATAGGGCAAACTTACAATAAACATGTTGGAAATATTGTATATTGTGCTGTAGATACACATTTCATTATTAACTATGAATCATCTCACTAATGGGTAAAATAAAAATTTAAAATTAAAGGCATCTAAGTACGGAATATTATCATTCTTTCTAGAACAAACTAAAAAGGCAAGTATGAGAGGTAGTAAAATAAGCCGACATTTTCAACATGGTAGGAGTTATATAAAGCATTTAAGCTAAAACATGATATTGGAGTTTCCCCTTCTTCCTTACAAAATTTTTATTTTGTGCCTCACAAAATTGACACTAGTTGTGTGAAGCCTTTTTTTTGGTAAAAATAGCACAGTATAGCCAGTTTCAGACTGGTCATTCAAAAATAGCCAGCGTTTACGAAGTCAATGAAAAATAGCCACTATTTTGCTGCAACAGAGACCGATCCAGCATAATATACTGGAGTTCGATGCACCTGTGTATGAACTCCAGCATATTATGCTGGACCTGTATACTTTGTTGACTCCAGTATAATATACTGGAAACTGGAGCACCGGTGCTCCAAACTCCAGTATATTATACTGGACAATTATACTTGCTGGAACTCCAGTATAATATACTGGAAACTGGAGCACCGGTGCTCCAGTTTCCAGTATATTATACTGGACAATTATACTTGCTGGAACTCCAGTATAATATACTGGAAACTGGAGCACCGGTGCTCCAAACTCCAGTATATTATGCTGGAGTTCTAGTGTACTTATGCTGGAACTCCAGTATAATATACTGGCGTATTTTCCGGATTTTGAACAGTGTTTTCGCTCAGATTTATCTTTATATGAAAAGTGGCTAAATTTCGATTACTTTTGAAACTGAGCTATTTTTGAACGACCAGTTATAAATCTGGCTATTTTTGAATTTTTCCCTTTTTTTTTGTCTCACAAGTTAGTGGGCCTAAAAGTATAAAACATTTAGGTCCACCAACTTGTAAGAAAACGGAGGTCTCACACAACTAAGTCTCAATTGTGTGAGATATATAAATATTGAACAAAATGCAAATTGACAGCTCAGCCGAAACTTATCGCAATTGCTATCTTAAAAAGTGTATAAATACATATAATTTTTGTAATATATATATATATATATATATATATATATATATATATTTCTCTAAAATATACATTTCAACCACACTTGTAAAAAGAATTACCCTTCGTCTTGATGATATTTGACTAAGTACATAATTTAACAAAATAAAAAATTGTGACTATAAAAATTTATTTGCAAATATTAATGTAGTATCATTATTTTTTAAACAGAGTGTCACAAAAAAACGAAGAGTGTCACGTACAAACGAAGTGTTGGATGGTTGTTATTATCGTTTCTTAATGTATTATATAATATTATATTGTACTGTATCATTTTGATGTACACAATGTTTGAATAGATTATATTATTTTTCATCATTTTATGATGTCGTGTACCAAAGGGTCATTGAAACAATAAGAGTGTCACGTACAAACGAAGGGTTGGATGGTTGTTATTATCGTTTCTTAATGTATCATATAATATTATATTGTACTGTATCATTTTGATGTACACAATGTTTGAATAGATTATATTATTTTTCATCATTTCATGATGTCGTGCACCAATAATATGAAGAAGAAACTTGTAATATTATAAGGACAGAATAAGGCACGAGGTAGAATTATCATATAAAAAGGTAGGTAAAAGATAAAATACGATTATTAAGGAAAGAATCGTGATGTCGTGCACCAACAATATGAAAAAGAAACTTGTAATATTATAATAAGGTACGAGGTAGAATTATCATATAAAAAGATAGGTAAAAGATAAAATACGATTATTAAGGAAAGAATCGTGATGTCGTGCACCAATAATATGAAGAAGAAACTTGTAATATTATAAGGAAAGAATAAGGTACGAGGTAAAATTAGCATATAAAAAGGTAGGTAAAAGATAAAATATGATTATTAATATGGAAGGGCAAGATGAAAGACTAAAAAAAAAAGGGAACGACGCTACCACACCAAATCAGTCGTTCCACAAAGTGACAATTTTCGTCGTTACGTATCAATCAAAAGAAATATTGTATTTAAAGTAACAATACAATACGATACAACATGTAACAACCATCCAAACAAGCTGTAAGTAATAAAATACGGAAAAGGCCTAAACTACCCCTCGTTTGCTAAATAGTTTATAAATACCCTCCATCCATCTATCCGTCCAAAAAAAAATACGATGTTATTTCTATTAACAAAATTACCCCTCGATTTAACGGCAACAGATGTGAGCCCCACTTTTAATGTGTTTGCAATTTATTACGGGCCATGTGGCTTATTGGGTCAAACAAAATTACGAGTAGAATATACCCGCCCCAATTATTTGACCCGTTCTAACTATTTTTTAACTTAAAAAAGAAAAAGAAAAATACTTAGCATCTTCTTCCTTCACCATTGTCACCACTCCTATTTTCCGCCATAACCACCACAAATCTAGACCACCCCTATGTATTCATTTACAAGGACAAGTTTAAAAAAAAGCGTTTTCTCGTTGTAGTAGTAGGAGTACTATTTATTAATGGTAGAATTTCCTAACAACTAAATCCATCATAATCGTGGCAGATGTTCTTCATTTACTTAAGATATATTTACCATGTGATTTTTGACCCTCACCAAGATTTTTTATATTTTAGCGTAAAATATTTAATTTAGGCCTAATATAGCTATTTCAACTCATTTTTACTTTTTTACTTTATTTTGTTACAAGAAAAATGAATATCACAAAAAATATTTTAGTTTTTCATAATTTTTTTTAAAAAATAATATAAAAATGGTACCTTATTTTTATCTTTATATAATTTCGAAAACACAAAAATAGTTTCATGTTTAGTTTAATTAATTAGGATTAGCTTTGGATGGTGTAGTATTTTTATCTTATTTTAAAAGGAGTCAATTAAGGTGTTGGATCACAATTTTAAGAGTTTCAGAGCCCGGTTCTTGGCCCAATTCGGATTAGTCCATTAAGCCTATGGACCCTTCTAGACTCTTCTTTGGAACAAAAAAACAAATAAAGAAGACCCTAAGGACTTAACACAAAAGACCTAGGGACTAATGGGCAAAATACACAAAAATACACATAAACCTAGACTCTACCTATAAATTAATGCTTAAAAAAATCAAAAAAAAAGAAAGAAGAACGAAAAAGCTGAAAAAGCTGCGCAGCTTTACAAAGGAGACCCCCCCGATTCCTCATCTTCTTCATTCCCCCATTCCAAAATACCTGGAAATTTTTCTGTTTTCTTTTGGATTTCGAAAAAGAGAAATAAACAAAGGTCTCTATTTTAGGAAGTATTATCCTTATGATTGAGTTTCAGAAAATATACAAAAACCTAGAGATACCCTGAGGATCGTCGTCTTCAAAACCATCCCAAGCGACCCCCGCGTTCCATCTTCTTCTTCATTCCGATAACTGCTTCAGCAGCCTAACGCCCCAGCACATCTCACCAGCCCGCCGCCGTCTCTCACGACTTCGTCCAATGACTCATCGCCGGAAACCAATCCCCACCGGAGAAACTAGAACTTATGCCAAATGCTCTGCTGGAAAACGCAGCAACACAGCTAGGAAAACCAATCTAGACAGCCCGCTTCTGCCCTGTTCTCACCCAATCAAGTTCTGTCCATTTTCGAGTTCTCCGGCGAGCTTCATGGTTGTCCGTGGTCGTGTTTGAGTTTTGAGTCCCGTCCAGAGGTCGCCGGCGAGGTTCCGTCAACCATTTCGTCCGTGGTCCAGAGTTGAAGGCTCAATTCTGTTTCGAAAAAATCACGTTTGCTCGATTTCTGGCCGTGTACTACTGGAAATTTCATCAAATGAAAGGTTCGATTTTCAGTTTGTTATAGTCGCTGAAGTGCTATTAATTGGAGAGCAATTCAGGTCCATTTTTCCTCCTCTTCTCTGTTAGTTGCGATGTTATTTTCGTGGTTGTGATTGAAAGATATTGC